GAAGAACAATCTCTAGGCAACATCCTAAAATTCTTCTCTGAAACCTCTTGAGTCAGGCCCCCGTGATTCAAATCACTTTTAGCACCACTGTCACATGCTCCTACTAGTGTGACCCACTAATGCTTAAAGCATTCCACTGCTTTCCAAACCCAAAGTACCGAAGTCCAGCTTCTTCCAAACTAACACATGATGAGGCCTATCCCAGCAATGCCCCAGTCCCTGGTACCAGCTGCTGTCAGTCCCTAATTGGTAGCACTGTTTGGGGACATTTAGGAGGATATGGTCTTGCTGAGGATCAGCTTTGGCAGGGGTGGGGTGGGGGGGAGGCCTTGCATACTTCTAGTTTACTCCCTTTGCTTCACGCTTATAGTTCAATATTTGAGTTCCCAGTATCCAGTTCCTGTCATTTGCTACTGTTTCCCTGCCCTGGTGAACTCTACCTCTCTGAAACAGGAGGCCAACGGAGACTTCATTAAGTTGTCTTGGTCACAGTGTTTTATCACAGCAACAGAAAAGGAACTGGTAGGATTCCCTGGTCTTGCCATTGTTGCATTTGATTGTGGCCTGAGGGCATTTCTGACTCCCAGGCACTTTGATTCACTCTGAGGCCACAGATCTTTCCTAATTGAACTATTGTGAATTCCCATCTGGCTCTAAATTTAATCTGCATCTATGGCTTTCTCCTTGTGTTAGATTTTCTTTCTGTTCTGAGCCCTTTCTCTAACTGGAAGATGGTGGGCCGGGAATCTGTTCTCATAGCTGCAGCCCCTCTCTAAGGAACACAGGCAAAGTTCCTTTTCGCTGTTTCCCACTTTAGGAAGCAGCAGGAGGCAGCTTGGGCAAAGTTTTTATCCTTACATTTGAAAACAGCCAGATTCTTCTAGCGTGTCAGAAGCAGCAGGGTGGCAGACCTTAGTTTGAACTTGATGCCAAGGAGGGCTGGCAGGCCTGAGTCAGGCTAGCTCCATCTGGAGGCTGCAGGGCACTGACAACTGGGGCCCTGGGCTGGTTCCAAGTGGGTATTGGGTGACTAGAGAACAGGGTAGCCTGTTTGCATTTCTCCTCTGTTTTTGTTTTGTTTTTCAAGACATTCTCTGTGTAGCCCTGGCTGTCCTGGAACTCACTCTATGGACTATGGACCAGGCTGACCTTGAATTTATGATCTGCCGGTGTCTGCCTCCTGAGTCCTGGGATTAAGGGCATACATGCCACTGTCCTGAACATGTTTGCACCTCTGGTCAGATCATTATTGTTTCCAGTCGCTTCAGTGTGCTGAACCCTGACCCTATGCTGAGCAGGCTGTCAGCACAGGCTCTAACCTTGCAGCAGCCTCGTAGGCAGCACCTCCTGTGGTGAAGGTGCATCCCATTCCTGTGGGAGCGCGACAGCTATACAATCTCCTGTGGGAGAGGCATAAAGTGGGCATGCACTGAAGCTAGGAAACTTGGGTTTTTAAGTTTTCCAGTGGGGAAGACTGGTTGAGGAGACACTGCAGCTAATAATGGCTTATGTGTCCCCACTCCCCACAGTCCTTAGTTTCCAAGTGTGTGAGCTCCTGTGTAATACCCATTTGAAGCATTTAATTTAGAGAAGCCCTTGGGACCTTGGAGGAACAATGCCAAGTGAATATGCACATGCACAAAAGGTGCCAGGAAACAAAACAAACCCAAATAATAAAATAATAATAATAATAATAAAATAAAATCCAATGCTGGGAGCCCTGCAACTTTCTGGAGGGCTGGCTTGAAAGCTAAAACTTCCCATACCCCCCAACGCCTGATTGACCCCCAAGGACCCACCAGTGAGAGGGCTCGCCCACTGGCTTACTGAGGAATCCCAACAATGTTGTATAGTAACTGCCACAGCCAGCCAAGCACAGCCCCTGGGTGTTTCTCCTCACACAGAAAAGTAGGGGAAAGACTGTTGTACACACAGCATGCAGCCCAACACACCACAACCTTCACAGTCACAAAAGCCACATTTACGCACAGGTCTAGCTTAGAGAATATGCTTTGTGGATAAAGACGGTACTTACAAAGCTGCTCAGGGCTAATTTAAGGGCAGACTGAGCACTTTTACTTAATGTCCAAGCAATAGCTGGTAGGGGCAGTGAGATGGCTCAGTGGGTGAAGGTGCTTGTCACCAACCTGATTTCGATTCCCAGGAGCCCACATGGTGGAAAGAAAATAAACTGTTGCAAGTCACCCTTTGTCCTCCACACATGCATCACGGCACGCCTTCCTCCCACACACAAATTTTTAAAAATGGACTAGTAAGATGGTGGTTCAGTGGGTAATGGTACTTGTTGTCAAGCCTGATGGCCTGAACTGGATCGCTAGAACCCTCATGGTGACGGAACCCACTCCTGCAAAGTGTCCCCTGACTTCCGCAGTCTGTTCCCACCTTGTCATCTCTCCAGGCTCCTGAAACTACCTTTTATTTACAGCTTGTACAGGGAGTGGGCCTGGTCGTTTGCACTGACCAGTGCAAACTCATCCAGTGACATACTCCAGAGCTGAAACTGTCCTCATTTTTCACAGGAAGAAAATAAGGTCCCCAGATGGGAGGCCCTTGCCCAGTATTTGCAGTGAGTCCAGTGACCCACTCCTCCCATTCACCTTGGCATCAAACACCATAGCTCACAAGCGCCAGTGCAGAGTGAAGTAGGGCTCCAACCTTGCCTCAATGAACATTTGTCCCTACACATACAGAGGTAATAATTAGCATGTTCATTTGCAACACCATCTGTCAATTTTTTTTTTCTTTTTACATCAATGGGTCTGTTTAACCTGTTTATTGATCTGTTTGGTTACCACGGAGCTAATACCATACTAGCTTAGTTGCCACTGCTCTGTATACCGTGGCATCTGGTACATAAGTCTTGTGTCCCAGGGATTTCACAACTGACTCAAGTTCCACTAAACAAACTGCAATTTCAATTAAATTTACAAACATAAATTTTCTGAAAAATGGGTGTCTGAACATCATATCATGCCTTTCTACCCATCATCATATCATAGGTCTTTAATGCTTCAGTGGAGCTTAAATTTCTTTAAGATTAATCCTAGTTACTTTGGGGGAGGGTTGTATTTTCTTGCTATTACATTTCTTTGTGGTCCTGGAGAGTGGCCCCAGGGATTTGTACATGCTATGCAAATACTCTGTCCCTGAGAGACACTCCAACCTATGTTGCTAATATTAGGCATCTTTTCTTGAATTATGTTTTGCTTGTTAATGTATTGAAGTGCCTTTGATTTCTGCATAGATCTTAAATCTAGCACCTGGCAACTCTTTTGGACTTTTCACTAAGTTCTTTGTTCTTTTATCACACTGATGGGACCCAGCACACTGGACAGAAGTAGTGACAGAGGAAGTCCTCATTACACCCTGACCTAGAGTGGAGCACTTAAGCGTTTCATCACTGAGTAAACAACACTCGCTCTTGGTTGTCTTCTAATTTTTAGTTAAGCTTTTTTTTTGTTTCTGCTTTTGTTAAATGGGTATTGAATGTTACCTGTTCTGTACAATATATTTTGTTTTTCCTTCACTTCTTAATGACTACTTGGGTTCCCTCACCTTCTAGAACCAAGAGATTCCTTTAGTATTTAATGTAATGAACTTACAACACACTGGGTGTATAAAGACTAGAAACAAGAAAGGCTACTTCCCAGTCCAGGGCTACCTACTTGCTTCCAGAATAAACTGTGGCTTGGGCCTAGTTGTGGGAGACTGCCTGAGGGAGGAGGGAAGCCCTGCCCCTGTCAGGTGCAGAAGTGTCAGAAGCAGGGAGCACAGGGGTCTTAGTAACACAACATGGTTGCCAGACTTGAAAGGAAGCAAAGTAGGCAGCTCCCTACGTTCTCAGATGTGGCCAGTTTTGCCAGGGGATGCCATGCCCTTTTCTACTCTCAGCAGTGGAAGAGCATGGACTAGAGCAGATGAGATGGCTCAGCAGTTAAGAGCATACACTGTTGCTGCAGAAGACCTGAGTTTGATCCCTAGGACCCACATTGGGTGGGCCATAGTCACAGCAGCCTATAACTACAGCTCCAGGGGACTTGACATCCTCTCCCGGACTCCAAAGGCATCTGCACTCACACACCTACACATAAATACACACAAGTGTACATAATTAAAAAAAAAATAAAATCTTTGTTTTTGCTCCTGGAGAATACTGGAGAAATAGAGTCTGTGTGACAGGTCTTCCAAATGGTGGGTTCCCAGGTTTGAAGGCACAAGCATCCTCACAGCCTAGTCCTGCACTGAACAATTCTGTTGTGAGGGGATCTTTGGTACATGAGACTTAGCAGGCCATGATTGCTGTCTTCGTTCCAAAGAGTTGTGTGGAAGCTGAACATACAGGTATGGCCACAGGGATAAGCCAGGACCAGGGAGAAGCGCGTCAGGGGTCACAGAGGCTGATTCCACACGAGGAAGAACTTCCATGCTGACTGACAGGAAGTACTCTATCACAGCAAATAAACAGAGACTGGCCACCAGCCAGGAATGTGGAGTGAAGGATGTGTGCCAGGAGTGGGCTGCTGATCCTGAGTGAGGTCTGAGGTGTGAAACAGCTTGGGTTTACTGGAGAGCCATGCTGATCAGGGAGTGTTTTAGTTTGGAGCTGCTGGGCTCACAGCATCATTCCACAGGCTTCTCTGCCCTTCACTGGCCTTCATGCCTTTGATCCTGTAGGTTGACCTGCCTATTTCCCAAGAGCTGGAGAGCCTTCATAAGCTGTGTGCTCCCGTGTATTTTGAAAATTGGATCAGGTGTAGAGTAGGAATTAGAAATCAAAGACCTCCAGAGTCCATTCTTATTTGTGGAGGGAATATTGCACGTACTAACTTCACACTCCAACAGGGGCTTTATTGTTGGGACTGAGAACCGTGACAAGCCCCAGCATGCAGACTGTGAGGGCTTGGTACAGGTGCTAGGAGGTCAGGGATGAGAAAGAAGTTCCATGGGGCTTGCTGCTCAGGGCACCTTTTCTCCTCTCAGTTCTTCTGGGCAAGTTTGCAGGAAGATAGTTCAGCACTTTACAAACTGATGGGTGACCTCGAAGATCCCCACAGACTCCTGAGCCTTCTCGTCATAGTCTGTCCAGTCCTATGAAATAAGAAGGCAGCATTAGCTTCTCAAGGCAGAATGGGACAGTGTGGACAGTGCAGAACCAGAGTTCCAACGCGCAGTGTAGCCTCTGACTCAGCTGGTAATGAATGCAGGAGGCTCTTCACAGGACAGACAACTCAGGCCTGAACTCCATCTCTCAGTCTTGTAATGAGGCAATTCATGTCACTTCCCCAAGCCTAAGTTCTGCCATTTATTTATTTATTTATTTAGAGACATGGTTTCTTTGTGTAGCCCTGGTTGTCCTGAAACTCACTCTAAAGACCAGGCTGCCCTTGCATTCAGATATCCACCTGCCTCTGCCTCTGCCTCCTGAGTGCTGTGATTAAAGGTGTGGGCCAACATCACCCAGCTTTTGGGTTCTGTCCTTTATTTAAACAGGGAGAAAAGTGACTTGAGAGTGAACCCTGAAAGGATGAAATCAAACACTTAGCACAGAAACCAGCACAAGGCAAGGCACAGACTGCCACCTACTGCAGTTACAAGGAGCTTCACAGGTGGGACAAAAAATTCATCTATCTGCAGGGCTGAAACAGGTCAATACCACAGGTGACCATTAAAACGCTTCAACTAGTGTCCCCAGGGGACATGCGGTTAGCTTCTCATAAGCGTCTGTTACAAGATTTTCATCAACTGCTAAATACTGTTTTATGTGTTTAAGCATAGCGTATTTCCTACGTGGTTCAGAGCCGCCAGTACTGTAACTCAGGCCTGAATGAAGCTTATCTACTGTGTACTTTCCATGTCAGGCATCCAGCCTTCCTGCGTGTATACACGTGTCCACTGTTCAGCACTACACTTATGGCCATTTAAATAGCAGAGTCACTAACAAAAAGCACAAAAATTCAGAGCTAGCTCTCCACTGAGAAGCCCTGTTCAACAAAAAGATAATTCCCACCCAGTACCATATCGCACCTTGCAGGATCCCCAAGTCTCACCTTTTCTTGCAGATTAATGTCACTGAAGACTGTCCCTGACTCCACACCTTCGGCAGCAAACCCGGCCTGCAGGGGACAGGAAGAGAGTGAGGCTGGGGGAAGAGCACCGGTGAAGATTGGTCCAGGGCTGGTCTTTCTAGAAAAGCCTTCAAGATGAAAGGCAACTTCAATGTAAACAGCTGCTCCTGACTCGGCACTGTAGTGGTGTGTCAAAATTACAGCCCTGGCCTAGAAGACTGCCTTGGCTTCCTTTCTGTTGCTGTGATAAGCATCGTGACCCAAAGGCAGCTTGGAAAAGGAAGGGTTTACTTTGCTTACAGCCCATCACCAGGGAAGCTGAGGCAGGACCGTAGAGACAGAAACCAGCAGAGACCATCTAGGAGGAATGCTTACTGGCCTGCTTGCCTACTTTCCTCTCTCTTCTCTTTTTTTGCCTTCCTTCCCTTTCATTCTTTCTTGTTTGGACAGGTCTCACTACATAGCTCTGGCTGACTTGGAACTTACTATGAAAACCAGGCTGGGCAGGACAGCGATGGTGCACACCTTTAATCCCAGCACTCAGGAGGTATAGACAGGCAGATCTCTGTGAGTTTGAGGCCAGCCTAGTCTACAGATAGAGTCCCAGGTTAGGCTCTAAAGCTACACAGAGAAACCTTGTCCTGAAAAATCAATCAAAAACAAACAAACAAAACAAAACAAACAAACAAACAAACAAAAACCAAAAAACAGGCTGGTTTTGAGCTCACAGAGCTCCTCCTGCATCTACACCCCCCTCCCCAAGTGCTGGGATTAAAGGCATGGCCATGTCCAGCCTCAGCTGTCTTCCTTATGTATCCCAGGCTCACCTCAGCCAGCAATCAGGACAATCAGACAGTCAGGGCTACACAGAGAAACCCTGTCTCAAAAATCAAATCAAAACAAACAAACAAACAAGCACAAATGAAGGACAAGGACTAACTGTAAGCGTCAGACAGATCAGAGTTCAATTTACAGTCAGGCAGATCTGGTAAGCTGCACTGTTGGAAGTTTGAATGTATGGCCCCCATAATCTCATAGGGAGTGGCACTATTAGGAGGGGTGACTTTGTTGGAGGAAGCGTGTCACTGTGCGGTCGGGATTATGTAGGATGTTCAGCTCCTCCAGCATATCTGCCTGTATTGCTGTCATGCTCCCCGCCATCATGACAATGGACTCTGAAACTGTCAGACAGCCCCAATTAAATGTTTTCCTTTATAAGAGTTGCCATGGTGTCTCTTCACAGCAATAGAACACTGACTAAGAAATGCACAATCTCTGAAATTCCTGTGTATGAAATTAGGATGAATCACTCCACAGGGTTACAGTAAGATGAAATGAAGTAACATGTAAAGGTGACGGGCACAGAGCACAGCATACAGTAGGCATTTAATAAGTGACAATTACTATTCATAGAATTCCTGGTTTGTGTTGTAGCTCAGTGCTAGAACACTGATGGAGAATTCCTAATTTATAGTCTCTGTAAGAAGCAAAGCTCTTTTACTACATTCCCTTCTCCGAGAGGAGAGTCCTCTTAAAAACACATACCTGGGGCTGGAAGTCAATTGGTTCAAGGCCCCGACACTCAAACTCTACAATTGTCTTGAACTTCTCATTGTCTTCAGCCTAGAAAGGAAGAATATTGAGGAGGCAGGCCCAATGGGACCCAGGAGACCCCATGCCCTCTGTCCTTTCTGGATGTGGGCCCTTATTGCACCCATGAGCCTAGAATGGGATCCAGGACAACTTAGCCCCTTTGAAAAGAAGCCTATCTTGGGCACTGCTCCCAGTGGGAACTTCTGTAGACAGTTTCCTTGGGTCAGCCTTCCTGAATGTCAACAGAGCTGAGGAAAACCTATATGTTTATTGTGAGTATCTGAATGATGAAGAAAGAGTCCATCATAGGCCCTAACATCACGTTCAGTGAAGGGTAAATGATCAACACTTGATCAAGAAGACACACCCATCTACTACGCCATGAGTACAAGGGCTGGGCCATTAGAGAGGGTACCTCTTGGGAAGTGGATAACCAGGAAATCCATGCCTACTTCACCCATGGGCTCAGTGACTACCCAGGACCATGTCCAAATTTTCAGCCCACCGTACTTTCAGGAAAACACTGCAGTATCATCCAGGATAAATGATGGACTGAGCAAATGAACAAGTACAATAAAGAATAAATAAGCAAAAGGGTGTGGTGTCAAGTGTCTGTAATCTCAGCATTCAGGAGGCTGAAACAGGAGTATGATGAGTTTAAGCCACGTCTGAGCTTGTGTTCAGTGTCCAGTGGCTGGCCACTTTGATGGAGCTGCTCTTGAATCCACTCCTCCTAGCCACCAGTTCAGATTCAATCCAAGGAAACTTACATTGTAAGACTTGATGGTGCTGCTCAAAATTTCTGAAATACAAAAAGGGAAAGTTGACTTGAATCTATACCCATGCTCCACTCAGGGAAAGAATGAGCTGCCTAGGTTTTAGCACTTCAGGCCTAAGTCCACCCCAGAAACACAAGTCTGCTTCTGGTCAGCCTGGAAGAACCTGCTAGCCATTGCCTGACCTACCAATGGAGTTCTCCCGTGCACACAGTTTGCATTTCTGGACCATGGAGGCATGACCACGGCCTCCTTTCAGTGCCACACTGTCCTGACAAGAAACAAAATAATCTCTAGTTACAGAATGGCTGTATACAAGGGTCCCAGTGCTCTTATCTCTATTACTCAACAGAAGAAACCAAGACCACAGAAGTGACTCACTTGCTGACAAGTGACAAGAGGGTTGGGGATAGCTCAGTGGTAGGGAACGGTTAGGGATGTGCACAGCCCTGGATTCAGTCCCTCAGCACACCTGGGGTAGGGCAGTATCCTAAGGAGTCTTCTTATGGTTGAGAAAAAAGATCCCTCTTGTTTGGAATTCTGCCACATATCCCAAAGATTCCTGTTGTTTCCAGTACTGACCACATTGGTGCTTGTTCTCTCAAGCCACACACACACACACACACACACACACACACACACACACACAGAGAGACACCGTTCAAAGGAAAGAGAGATGAAGGCCAGTTTCCCCAAGTGTAGCCCAAGAGTACATATGATAGAGACTATTACCATCAGCCGGATGTATTGCCACTTCTCTGAAATCTCACCACAGTTGCCACATTTCATCTTGGGGTAGAAAAAGAGGATCAGTTGAGCAGCTGGCTTAGTTGGAAAGATACCATGGAAGGGCAAGTATAGTGTAAAACAGGTTCATAACCTACCACATCCTTCTATTTATTTTATATAGGATCTCTATATATAGCCCAAACTGGTTTTGAACCTGAGGTCTCCCTGCCTCTGCTTCTGGAGTAAAGGGATCCCAAATGAGTGACACTATACACAATACAGCCTATCTTAAGTGATTCTTACACCTCATCCTACAACCAGTCCCAATGAGGACAGGAACGGACTTATCCTCAGCCAAGAACAAGTTATTTATATCCCCACCCTACTCTAAGCCACAGGCTCCCAAGCAACTCCCAAGCTTGGCTAGGAGCTTTGTAGGTAGGGTCCTAAGTGCTGGGGTTAAGCATTCATCATTTTGCTACTCTTTTCTGTCTCCATTATTCTGTGTTCCTTAAAGTCAAAGAAGTTCATTTTTCAAATGTTCGAAAACATTTGGAAATAGGAGCTGTGGATGCAACGGTAGAGCACTTGTCTAGTACTGAGGGAATTAAATGGAGGTAAAAGTGATCGGTTATGACTTCCTTAAAGACAAGGCTTTGGATAGGGATGTGAGTGGCTAGACTAGGGGAATAAAACAGAATCTGGGATTTGAAGAGCCTCACACTGCTTGGACCTCTACAGATCACGAAGACAGGGCACCAGGTTTTACCAGGTTTACTATTCAACTTTCACAATAAGTGAATCCAGCAAATAACAAGGTGAGTTTATTCATCTTATTAAATGATCACAAATTCCCCTCAAATAATATTTTGTTCAGTGTCTGTTTACAAACCAAGAGCTGGGGAGATTACACTGGAGAGAGTGCGCTAACGTGAGGCCCTAGATTCGGATATATCCCCGGGACTGCACAGGTGGGGAAAAAAAAAAAAGACAAAGATCCACCGTTGGAGGAGGATGCCTATCTGTAATTCCAGCACACAGAAGGCAAAGGAAAGATCAAGAGTTCAAAGTTATCCTCTGCTACATAAAGATCTCAAGGCCAGCCTAGATTACATTAGACTAATAATCAATAAAAATAAAATCTAAAATTTCAGCCTGAAAAAAATCCACTTATATGCCTCGGATTCAGTAGAATAGAACAGAACTACTGAGATCTCGGCTTGGCCCTGAGCCTAAAACGCCCACTGCCTCCTGATGCTCCTCCTTTTCCCAGGAAGGATTCCCTTCCGCCGCACCTTCAGGTACCACCGGAAGTCCTCGCCCATTGGCCGAAGGTTGGTGACGTTCTCCAGCGTGGCTTTGAGCTGTAGCGCGATTTTCTGAGAAGAGGGCGGGCCAGGCTGAAGGCATGGCTGCGCTTGCGCATCAGCCTGCCCCGCCCCACCTCGGCTCAAGACCGCCCTCCCCGGCCTCCCTCAACGCAAGCTCGATCCTTCTACTCCCTTCTTGTATGAGCGTCGGACTCTCAGGTCCCAGCCACCTCCATCCCACCTCCGATTCGGCTACCGGACGCTCCCGTGGCGAATCGCCTCCCCTTACCCCCATAGCTGCCTGATCCACGTTTGCCGCTGCGACCGCTGCTTTCCGGCCCGTGGTAAAAGGCTGGCACCGCCCGCGCAGCCTCAGTGCTGGTGGGCGGGAATCGGGGCGTTGGTGAGAGGTGTCGACTTAAAGCCGGTCTCGCCTTAACCGGTCAGGTAGGGCTTTTCTTGGTGGGTGAGACGGAACCCATGAGATAGCTAATGCCAGAGTTCCTGATTCTCAGCTCGTGCCATCACTAAGCAGGCAGGGGATTCTGGCCCGAAACTTCTGCTAGACAGCCCTAGGCACTGGGTTTCCTTTCTGCCTCCTTACTACCCGGTGGTCCCGAGTCCGCTCAGGTTACGTTGCAGCCTTGCAGATTTCGGCGTAGCGGCCCTCCAAACTGCTCACTCGAGCTTCATGCCGGACCTCATGCTGCATAGCCCAGAGTGTTCACGTCCTTGTGGCCCCTATGTCTGCAAACAGCTGGCTCTTCCCTACGGTCTTTACAATATTCGAAAACATGTCATCCACGTGACACTTTGATAACCCCGTGTTTGTTTCAATTTTTATGTGTGTTTGAGTGTTTTGTCTGCTTGTGTATGCACCACACATGCAGCTCCCGCCGTGGCCAGAAGAGGGCACCGGATCCCCAAGAAACAGACGGTTGTGAGCCACCAAGTGGATGCCAGGAACTGGATTGGGGTACTCTGCAATGGCAACAAGTGCTCTTAACGGCTGAGCCATCTCCCCACTGTGTCATTAAAATAAATAAATAAAACACCTTTTTCTAACATGATTAGACTGGCCTCTAAGTATCTCAATAATCAGGCATCCTGACTTGTCAGATATAAATGATATCCCTAACTTGAAACAGGCAGATGCGATAGAAGTATGAAGAGTTTGAGAAAGCTCAGGTCTCTAAGAATGTGTATTCAGAATCATGAACACTATCAAGTCCCATTTCTTCTACTGCACTCTAACCAGCTATTTTCGTAAAACCATGAGATTTATGTAACAGCAAGAGAAAGCTCCTAACCAATCTACCTGCCGAACAGTTTTCCTCCATATTGAAATACATACGGGGTTCTGTAAAAAATAAAACCCCAACCACATGCAATTTCATGCCTAAGAAGCTAACATTACCCAGCTGTGAAATGTAGGTTGGTGGTGGAGTGCTTGCTTAGTATGCTCAAAACCCAGTCTTAAACAAACACACACACACACACACACACACACACACACACTGTACGTAAAATCTACAGCCAATGTTCAGATTTCTTTAATGTCAACTTTAGTTTTTTATCATGACCCAACTGGGGTCAAACATTCATTACTTTGTCTTGGTGGATATCGTGCTTTCCAGCAATTGATTTGTCTTGTAAATATTCAGGTTCCGTTTCCCTTGGAACATAAGAAACCAAATTGAACTGGGTGTGATGGCATCTGCCTGTAATCCCAGCACTTGGGAGACTGATCCCAAATTCTAAGCCATCTTGGATAGTAAAGGGAGGGGAGACTTTTTCTTAAAACCCAGGTAACTTGTCCTGGATTTTCCTTTGAGTATTGCTAATAAGATCCCCAATTCTCAATGTATTAAAAATTATTTAGTATATGGCTGGGTGATGGGGGAGCACGTCTTTAATCCCAGCACTCAGGAGGTAGAGGCAGGTGAATCTCTGTGAATATGGGGCCAGCCTGGTCTAGAGTGAGTGCCAGGACAGGCTGCAAAGCTACACAGAGAAACCCTGTCTCAAAAAACAAACAAGAGAGAGAGAACTTACTTAGTATATGTGTGTGCACTAGCACACATCCGTGCCACAGCACAGGAGTAGAAATTCAGTCATTTCTTGCCTTCCACCTTGTGGAGACAGGGTCCCTGTTCCTGGGTGGCTGGCTGGCCCATGGGATGTGGATGGTGGTTATCATATCAGGCCATCTCCCTGGCACTCATGAATATTTGTATTTTACATCATGAGACATAATTCACACATTCAGGTGTTTAGAAAAATAACCAAAAAAGTAGCTGTTATCAATTTATTAAAGACCATCATTTATTGTTTATAAAAATTGCCCCAATATACAGAGAAAAATTCCTAATTATGGTAACTAAAAATTCCCACCCCCCTCATGTCCACAATATCCAATCTAGATTGGTTTAATCTTGAAGTGTAATCCAATAAGACTAAAGACTAAACACTTCAGGTCCTGGACAAGATAATAAAACACTCGTAAACCTTCTGGATCCCTAAAATACAAAAGAAAATAAAAATGTTTAAGAAGCAGAGAAAAAAAAAAAGGCAAATAAGTTAATAACCCTGATTATTACAAAAATGTTCCTTATGAAGGTATTTACATTCATAAAACCTTGAGAAAGCACATGTCCATCAAGAAAGAAAAGGTTATTATGAAGCCATTTAAACATGGTGTTTTTAACTGTGAAAAACATAAAACCAAGGGGGAAAATCATGATTTCTAAAACAGATTGTTCTGTGCTTTTGAAAAAGCTGGAAATCAGGTCAGTGGTGAAGCACTTGCCTAACATGCAAGGCCCTAATCACGTTCAATTCCCAGGACCGAAAACAAACCAAAAGCCCCCCTCCTGCCTCCAGCACAATTCTTTATAGCAAATAGATTCACATCCCATTAACACTACTGACATGAAATTTAAAATTTACATTCAAGATTTCAAACTTCACTAAGACTAAGATAAAGGTGACCAACATTTGTTTGGCCTTACTTCATTTTCTCTTCTGGTTGTTACTATGCATTCCTCGGTGGCACTGGGAAGCAGTAACTGAATGAACCACCACAAGTAAAAGCAGCAACCTTAGAAAACACAACTGGCCTGAATCCATGAGGCTCTGCATTTGTACACGTGCTTTTTCTTGCTGTTACTTTCTAAATGATTGGTTTTTATAAAGATGATTTAAAGTATATGGAAGTATACAGGCTCTGTGAAAAGATGACACTACTTTATATAAGGGAATTGAGCATTCAAAGATTGTGGTACCAAAATTCTTGGAGCCAACCATCCATGATACCAAAACATAACTGTAACCTGGAGGCCTCTATGAATGAGGAGGACCATGCTGACTTCTGCCTTGTGTCTGCACCACACCTTTCTATGCTGGCTCCATCTAGGTGACAATTTCTTTTTAATCTCCAACAACAAATACAACTGGATATAAATGTCATATATACTTACTTAGACTGGTTGACATCAATAAGGGAACCAATTTTTGATGTTGTAAAAGAAATGTGTTCATCACCAATGACAATTTCAAGCTCCTATAAATACATACATACATACATACATAAGAAAGACATCATTGGGTCATTAATCAAGCACACAGGACAAGGGCTCATCCAAACTCTGGTCCTCATGCTTGCATTACAAGTATTTTATCCACCAAACTACCTCTTATTGGTGTGTGTGTGATATATGAATGTAGACATTAATCTCAGGGCACATTTCTAGAGGTCAGGACAGTTTATGAGAGTTCTCTCCTTACACCTTTATGGAGATTGAACTCAAGCTGCCAGGTGTGGCAGCAAGAGCCTTTACCCACTGGTCCAGCTTGCTGCCCCCATCCCCATCTTTTTAAAAGAAATACAAGTTATACCTGTCTCCCACTCTTCTTTGGCATCTCCTAAAACTGGCACATATTCCTTCCACTTACTTTTTTAGACTTAGTAGCATACTTTCAAAATAAATGGCCACACCTGATAGTGTGTGTGTGTGTATGTATGTATATATATATATATGTATATATATTATACTTATATAATATATATACTTACTTATATACTTATATTATTTACTTATATAGTTATACTATATCTATATTTTTTCATTCAATATAGTTTCTAAGATTTATCCATGTTGGACTACTCAACAATTTAAATATGTTGAACATGCCATTTCCTTACTGAAGTTGATTTAAGTTCCCAACTTTTGTTACATCATTTATAATGTGGCAAGAATGATCTAGGTCTTGGGGCTGAGCTCAAACATTTGTTCTAGTCCTGGAGTTAGGTTCCCAACCCCACCAAAACTATTTTCTGCTCTGCCAGATCCTTATCCAAATGGCTTCCTGACGTGGCCACACTGGTGTTTTATTCCTGCCATCAGTGTAGGAACTCTTTCTGTTCTTTTGAAGACCTGGGAGAGGCTTCAAATATGTGAGGTCCTAATTTTTATAGGTTACAAAGCACCTGTAAATCTTTTCCATGTTTCCTGGCTACATTTGAGTCTATAAACTGTCTATTTATACCTTTGGCAGCATTTACAGCCCCACCAGGTTATCTTTTTATTGTTTTATAGTTCTTCATATACTCTTAGGGAAACTCGTCAGATATATTTTCCAAGTATCTTCATCCAGTCTGTGGCTCATTTAAACTTTATTTAGATGTCTTTTGTAAAACAAAATTTAAGTTTAATTAAAGAATTAAATTTACAAATCTCCTTAAAGGAAAAGAAAGGGGTTTTTGTGTTTTGAGATGGGTCTCACTATGTACCTCTGGCTGGCCTAGACTCCACAGAGACCCACCAGCCTGTTTCCCACATGCTGAGATTAGAGGCATGTGCCAATAAGCTCAACACAATTTACATTTTAAAAGAACCCCCTAACTTTAGAATAGAAATACGGGGCAGGACAAACACAGAAACCAGAAGTATAGAGTATAGTAGTGGCAGTGGAGGTAGAATTATCTTTTATTTTTTTAGTTAACAAAATGGTAATATACGGCTGGAAAGCTGGCTTAGTGGTTAAGAGCACTAGTTCCAGAGGATCTGGGTTCCATTCCCAGCACCTACATGGAATTAATGATTCTCCCTCCCTGCTACAATGTCCCATAGAGCAAGTGGTCCACATCTCCTTTGTAAGAAGTCAAGTATAGTCAATAAAGCATTCACCTGCCGGCCTACTCGGTCAGGAGGGGGCCACAGAGCATCATCTTCTTTGGTGATTTCACTGTCGTCAATAATCCTCTTTAATTCTTCCATCACACTTTTATGAACATACGCCTAAAATCAAGTTTAAAATAGATGAGCCACACCTCAACAACATTCTAACCCAGACAGTAATGGAGATAAAAACAACTGTTCCCGAAGATCTGTTTCTCAAACCTCCATGAGGGTCAGAATCAAAAGTATCCTGCCTGTTCACATGAATCTTTTTCTCTGTGATCTGAATGTGTCCCTCCACATTAGCTCAGACTTAACCCGCAGCATGAGTCTAGTGATCTTTAGTACATGAGCAGGCCACAAGGACAGAAGGATTCAAGGGATTTACCTGGCTCCTTTTCCACTCGTTTGTCATATGAAGAAAAGGTTTTTTTGTTTGGTTTTATTTTTGAGGATACAGTAATAAGACACCATCTTAGAATAGACTGGGTCTTTTCTACACACTAAACCTGGCAGGGTCTTGGAATTCACTAAGAGGTAAGTCTTCTCTTTATACATTACCCAGTCTCAGGTAGTTTTAATATAGCAGTACTGAGATACATTTTCCTCTGGACATGATTTCAATGTGTTCTTCCCAACCAACTCCTTTTATGTAACTAAAGGTTTGGTCCTCAGGGTGTTACTATGGAAGTGGTATAGATCCTGAAGAGGTAGGAATTACTGCAAGGTCCTCAGATCACTGCAGCATATCATCAGAGGAACTACCGGAACCCAGCATCTGTTTCTGCCTCATTCCCCTGGTTTGAGAGGTCACTGCATGGTCACACATATTGCAGTGATGTTTGGATTTTGAATTTCCAGAACAATGAGCTAAATAATCTCTCTTTGTTTTTGAAACAGGGTCTCATAGCTCAGACTGGCTTTAAACTTGATCTGAACTTGAATTTCTAACCCTCCTGCCTTCACCCCTGAAGTCCTGGGATTGTAGACATGTATCATCATTCCTAGCAATAATCCTCCAATAGCCTGTCAGATACATTGTAATAGTGATGAAAGACAACTAATATACGATACTTTTTTTAAAGACAGGGTTTTGTGTATCCTTGAACTCTATGTAGCCAGGGATGATCTTAAACTTCTGATCTTGCCTCCACCTCCCCAGGGCTGAATTATAGACATGGACTACTATAACCAGTTTTTGAAGTATTAAGGACCAAACCCAGGGACTCATGAAGGCAAGTACTCTAGCAACTGAGCTCCATCCTAGATATTCTTAATTAGAGAGTATGTTTTTGAGGAGAGACATATCTTAAAATACTCTGTACACTAGCTCATGCAAAAAACCAAAAAAGGGAGGATGCTGACTGACTTGGCATAAAATTAACTGCCAAATAGTATGATGATATACTTGACTGTTACATTTTCTTTTTGGTTTTTCTAGACAGGGTTTCTCTAGCTTTAGAGCTTGTCCTGGAACTCACTCTGTATATCAGGATGGCCTCAAACTCACAAAGATCCACCTGCCTCTGACACCCCCCCCCCCCGCAGTGCTGGGATTAAAGGCGTCACTACCACTGCCCAGCCTGACTTATATTTTCAAGTGTGACCAAGTGGTTAAAAGGAAACAGCAGCTGGGCAGTGGTGGTGCATGCCTTTAATCCCAACACTAGGGAGGCAGAGGCAGGAAGATCTCTGTGAGTTCGAGGCCAGCATGGTCTACAAAGCTACACACAGAAACCCTGCCTCGAAAAAGCAAAAATCAAAAAGAAAAAGGAAAAATGAAACAGCTTTAATGCATGGCAGAAATCACAGCAGAATGGAATACATGAACTTTACTGATATGAGTATGCCTAAATTTTGGTCATTATCTCTTACAAAGCAAGAGTAACTTTGGACAGGCCTCAGATTTAATATCTGGGCCTTCATTTCCCTATATATATTTACAGAACACTGTCACATGAGCTTTTATAACCAGGGTTAAAGAACATACATATATGCCAGGTGTATGCGCATGCCTTATTTCCATGGGAGGCAGAGGCAGGTAAATATCTGAGTTCCAGGTCAGCTTGATTTATAGAGGGAGTTCTAGGACAGCCAGGGCTACACAAAGAAACCCTGTCTTGAAAAACAAACAAAAGCTTCTTCTACTTCGGGAAAACACCAAATGGCGGATGACGCCGGTGCAGCGGGAGGGCCCGGAGGACCCGGGGGCCCAGGATTAGGAGGCCGCGGCGGCTTCCTCGGAGGCTTCGGCAGCGGCCTCAGGGGCCGCGGTCGTGGTCGAGGTCGTGGGGCTCGTGGAGGTAAAGCCGAAGACAAGGAGTGGGTCCCTGTCACCAAGCTGGGCCGCCTGGTTAAGGACATGAAGATCAAGTCCCTGGAGGAGATCTACCTTTTCTCTTTGCCCATTAAGGAATCCGAGATTATTGACTTTTTCTTGGGGGCATCTCTTAAGGATGAGGTTCTAAAGATCATGCCAGTACAGAAACAGACAAGGGCTGGCCAGCGGACCAGGTTCAAGGCTTTTGTCGCTATTGGGGACTACAACGGTCATGTTGGTCTTGGTGTTAAATGCTCCAAGGAGGTAGCCACAGCTATCCGAGGGGCCATCATCTTGGCCAAGCTTTCCATTGTCCCTGTGAGGAGAGGCTACTGGGGGAACAAGATTGGCAAGCCCCACACTGTTCCATGCAAAGTGACAGGCAGCTGTGGCTCTGTGTTGGTGCGTCTCATCCCTGCCCCCAGAGGCACTGGCATTGTCTCTGCTCCTGTGCCCAATAAGCTACTGATGATGGCCGGTATTGATGACTGCTACACATCAGCCAGGGGCTGCACTGCCACCCTGGGCAACTTTGCCAAGGCCACCTTTGATGCCATCTCTAAGACCTACAGCTACCTGACCCCTGACCTCTGGAAAGAGACTGTGTTCACCAAGTCTCCTTATCAGGAATTCACTGACCATCTTGTGAAAGCCCCTATCAGAGTCTCTGTTCAGAGGACCCAGGCTCCAGCTGTTGCCACCACATAAGGGGTTTTATACAAGAAAAATAAAGTGAATTAAGTCTGTTTAAAAAAAAAAAAGAAAGAAAAAAAAGAAAAACAAACAAAAAACAAAGAAAAAAGTAACCACTTGTTCTCTCACTCTTCATTTTTCATTACTATTACTAGAGAGAGCAGAAACAACGTCAACCATTGGTAGTGAAGGAAAAGATCCTACCTCTTTTCTGATCATGACATCATTTTTGTAATTGCTGTTGTTGGCATATCGAAGTTTTCCTGTGGGGTAAAAAAATAAATGCAATGTACAACAAAATGCCAATGAAACTTCAGTAGTCTACTAAGAATATCTACTTTGCCTAAATTATGTTCAATTCCCCCCCCCCACACACACACACATGGCTTCTCTGGGTAGCCTTGGCTGTCCTGGAACTCGCTCTGTAGGCCAGGCTGGCCTCAAATTCACAGAGACCCACCTGCCTCTGCCTCCTGAGTGCTGGGATTAAAGGTGTGCACCACCACCCGGCATTATATCCAATGTTCAGACCAATTCACAGCTATGATATTAGTCTTTTCAGTGCTCCACTTTAAACTATTAAACAGCTGAAGAGACACCTGACACTGAACTAGAGTTCAGGCAAAAGCTACTATGATGTAGCAAACGAATACAGGACTAGCTCTGGAACGTAGCTTTTTGGCAGATCAATGATAATTGCTAACTTGCCCTCACAGAAAATATGCTCATGTTTAACTGGGTTCTGAAGTGTTTTGAAAACTGTAGGAAGCTGCATACACAAACACACACACATATACACCCATGTGGTCTTGTGACGATGATCTATTTGTGCATACTTTTAAACTGAGCACATTTGCTTCATAAGGTCTGTGCATGAGTACAACCACTGGGCCAGTTTGGGCACATAGTGTCATGTGGTAGAAAAAAACAGGGAACTTTGGGGAAACGAAACATCTAATTTAGGCTGAAGGTCTGAGCAGGTTTCCTAAGTAAAGTGACTTAGGTTGGTAGAGTATAGAAAGAATGTAAAGTGTAGGTGTGGACTAAGGGTTCAAGAATAGACAAGATGGTGTTGTGGACCGAATTCACATCAGACACTGAAAACTAAAAAGTGCTTGGGATATTGCAGCCAGAAACAAAGCAGTGTGGGGCTGTGGCAGAAAAGGCAGACAGGCACGGGTATGCGGTTTGAATTTTGTCAGGAAGGTAGAGGGAGCTATTGACAGTATCAGAGAACTACAGTAATCTAATTACATAGGCCTGTTGTTACATGTTCTTGTCCATCTCATAGAGAATGAACTGAAAAGGAAAAGATTTGAGTAGAATTGTCCTTGCCTCCTCACCACACTGCAACCTTCCCCAAATATTACCAGATACATTCAAATAGTCTCCAACAGTATCCTAAATCTTTCCCACGTCTATAGTCCTAGTTGTCCTAGTCCTGACCACCACTCCTGTCTATTCTATACTTTTTGAAGAACACCACACCTTTTCTCTTAAAAGCTTCAAGCTGTTTCCTGCTGCACCTACTTGTGATCAAAAAAGCAAGGCTCCTACCTAACATCATCTCCTACTGGTGTTCCTAGAATTCTCTACTGCCCTTCAGCCATCACAACGGCCATCTGAAACATGCCTGGTTGTTTCTGCTGTCCCATGACCTTTTCACTTGCTACTCTGGCTTTTCTTCCTGAGCTTCACGACCTGATTCCTTCTCAATTACGGCTCAATCCAAATGCCCCCTGTTCGGAGTGCTCTCTAAAAGCGACCCTATTTTCTGATCACTCCTCACTTCAGATCGCTATTTATGATTTCTCCAAGTACTGAAACACATGTTCCACGAGAGGGGAAATTTGTCTTCGTTGCTCTTTCCCCAAGTGGAACACAGCCCTGTGTAAGATGGACATCCAATCAATCTTTGTTGAAATGTAAACAATCTGACTTTTCAAAAAGCTACTAAGGAGAAGCTCCAGCGTATGGACAGAATGAACCAGTGAAATCGAAGAATACGCCTTTCAGAACCCAGCAGCTCCGGTCTCAGTCCCTTCCTTCACTTGGTCACATTTCGCAGCCCGGCCTCTCCGCCCTCCCCCAGGTCCGGTTTCCCATCCTTGCAGGCGGGAGACCGCTCTTACCGTCAGGTCGGAATTCAAACTCCAGGAACTCATGACCGAACTTGCCTTTGTGACCCACGTAGTAACGTAGGTAAAAGTCACTCTCCATGGCTCACAGGGGACAATCAAAACCGAACTTTAGGAACAGATCACACTATCACGACCTGCGCCCTATACTGACGTAGTGGTGGCGCGCGGAAATGACGCCACAAACGCGCCGTTAACAGTTTTTCACACTTGGGAGGCGGGAACGAGATCACCACGCCCCCCTCGTCCTGAGGCGAGATCAACTCAACCACTGCTCTTCCTTTCCGGAAGTCAGGGTTCCGGGCTTCCACAACTACGTCAGGACACCTTTACCTATAGCTTTAGGGCCAACACTGCACGCTGGAGTCCAGCCAGGCTCAACTGCAATTTAAAGACACGAGTGAGTGAGTCGAAAGAGGCCATTCACTCTCTGAACCCAGGTGGTCTCCACAGTAAAATGGAGCAAGATGGTTCACCCATCTTTGAGCCCGCTGACCCCTTCCCCTACCCAGTGTCTGAATCAGGAGTTGCCTTGGAGAGGGAGTGCAGTGCTGTGGCCTGTCACTGAAAGCTTAACGCAGAGGCGTCACGAGTTGAGGCTAGAGGCTGCATAGTAAGACCCTGTCTCGAAAAAGTTCGCTTTAGTTACCTCTTTGTTTTGTTTTGTTTTTCGAGACAGGGTTTCTCTGTTTAGCAGCGCTGGCTGTCCACCGCCCTGCTTACTCAGCTGTCTCTGAAGAAACCTTTTCCACGAGCGATGGGAGCACACACCTTTAATCCTTCAGGCAGGCGGATGTCTGTGAGTTCGAGGCCAGCATGGTCTACAGAGTGAGTTCCAGGGCAGACCCCCACAGCTACAGAGAAACCATGTCTCGAAACTGCCTTCACTGCAGTTGCCTGTAACTTGCCTACACTGCCAACGTTCCTTTGTGCCATTTATTTTACTTACAGGCAAGGTACTGCTGACCTAGGACTTGTGACCCTCCCACCTCATCCTCCAGTGTCCCCAGTTATGCACTAGTTGCCTTTCATCTCCCCTGTCTTCCAGGATCACTGCTCTCTAGGATAGGTGCTGTGGGTGGATGCTGAATGCCCACTCCTAGTTACCTTACCCACAGTGATTCCCAGCCCTTGCTGCACACTGATGGAATCCTACATTGACATCACCAAAAATGCCCAGGCCAGGACTTGGCATGGTGGTACATGGCCTTTAATCCCAGCACTTCAGAGGCAGAGTGGGGCAGATTTCTGTGAGTTTAAACCCAGCCTGGTCTACATAGTTGCAGGCCAGTCAGGAATACAAAGTGAGACCCTCTTAAAAAACATAAAAACCACACACAGAGTCTAGGTGAGACGAACATGGGGACCACTACCCAAGAGGTCATCTTTAAGTCTTGCTGGCTGTGGGAATGTTAAGGTCGACTAGGTAAAAAGCAGTGAAAGTATTGACTATATATAGATTGACACACATCTTTATCAAATGGATCTCACTATGTAGATCTGGCTGGGCTTGAGCATAGGTGTCTGCCACCCTTGCCTCTGGAGTACTGATATTAAAGGCATTTGCCATTACCATGCCCTACTGCATTTTAGAAAGTCTGCTTTGGCTGTCATGTATGCTAGTTGTTAAGGTAACCCATGAGGGTAGTAATATGACAGTGACCCATGTGCAGACTGAAAAGCAAATGGATTTGAAATGAAATCTAATAGCATAAAGGTTGGCAAAGGAGAATTAGCTGTGCCCAAAGCTGTAAGAAAACCAGAAATATGGTGTTGCAGGCACCAAAATAAGGATATTCCAAGAAGAGTGGCCTAGTGTTAAATACTGCTCCTAGATCAAGGATGGATTGGAGGTATCTACAAGATTTCCAATAAGGGAGACCCTAGATGACCTTGGTAAAAGTCACCTCAATGGCATGAGAATAAGGGGCAGTTCAGAAACATTGAGTTGCAAGTAGGCAAAAATCATAATGGAAATGTGGAGATACCTAACCCAGACAGACAAGAGGTTGCTTCCTGGAGGAGATACAGCCTAAATTTAGTACTTAATAACAAGTAGGGAATTCTAGGCAGAGATTGCTACACATGCTATTATTCTTTAGGACTACACAGAAGGGCTGTGTGGCTTTGGGCAGTTACTTTACCCATTTCTTTATAAAATGGGAGTAGATAATACTGAAAGTATTATTTTACAGGATTATTGCTAAGATTGAGATGATTTGTGCAAAACATTTGGCATACATTAGGGAGCTAATTAGTGATAGTTCACACCTTCCCCCATTAAGGCACCACAATGAAACAAAACAGATTTTAAAAAATGAATTTAATCTTTCTAGAAACAGTGTACTGATTTCACAAATGTCCACATTTGGTTTTCAGTTCACCAAGATGATATCAATACATTGAGTGAAATGGAGCACACCTTCAGTCCCTCTGCCTCTGGAAGAAGCTAGATTGCTGAGGCACTGAGTACAGAAGCTAATGAAACTCAGAATGATATGACAAGAGCAGAAATGGTTAGTGTGACCCAACATTTTACATGCCCTACTATTACACCAAATATGGTAATTTGGAGGGTGAGGCAGCAAACAAGAAAACCCATTTGGATATTGTGAATTTGCAACCAGTACCTTACCCCTCATATTAACAACCTGTATAGAACAAAATGCCATTTTAAAAGTCTGGTTTGTACAGTCTTCTCTTGTAGTTTTTGTAAAAAAAAAAAAAAGTATCAAAACCTTTTCTTTAAATATATATATATATATTTATACAGGTAGCTTTTTTAAAATTAGTTTTCACAGCACAAAATGTTTGCAAATGCAGTTCCTGCTGATTCTTAAGACTGTGCACATAGTGCAGAGTCTGCATGAATGTCTTTAATTAACTGAAAATTTGAAGCTTTAATTTCCTCCACCTTCAAAATTCTTCATCTCCTGAAAAGTCCCAAATACCCTACAATATAGTATAAGAAGACTCTGGCACTCTATCTTCATGCATTTATGGGGAAGGAAATTATATATTTAGAAATTGCTAAATTACTGATGTTTTGTGAAGTGTCAAGTGTGGCGGGCTGGGAGTGGTCTTTGTATTCCTGTGGGGTTAGAATTGTTTTCTCCTTCACCCAGTAGCACCCGACTGTACTGTGACTGGGATACCCTTTCCAGATCCTGTATCTCTATCATCTAAAAGGTGCTTGACAACATGACATGTTTCTATTGAAAATCCCACTGCCCTCATGTTAGTTTTCACTAACCATATCAAAAATCTCTGACTTCAATAAATAAAAAGCAGTCAGCATTCCCTGTGGCCACTGGAAAGCTTGAGGTGGAACAGTGCTACACCTTCAAAGTGCTGGCAGTCAGGTTTTCATGATGCCTTGTACACAGTAAATGACCAAAGGAAGGTCTGCCTAGTTTAAACCAGAAATTATAAAGTGCTTACGCTGAACTTGTCTTTCCATTCAGTGTCACTTCTTGCCAACTCTCCTGAGTCCCTTATTCCAGGTATAACGAACTATTATGTTGTTCCTTAAAACGATGCTGCTGATTCATGCCTCAGTCTTAGTTCAGTGTCTCCTCTGCCAGAAGCTGCCTCAGCAACACTTTGGGTCTCTTCTAGGAAGACCCAATTTTTCATCTTTTCAGGTAATGTGAACCATCTTTTTTGTGTGCCCTGGCAGTATTCTAAGTGAAATCTACCTTTTCTTTTCCTTTTTTTTTTTTTTATCCACGGGCCCTCTTACTGCAGTGAGCTTCAAAAGGATGAAAAACATTTAATTGACCTTTGATGTTTGCAATGCCTAGCACATAGCACCTAGTGAATAGTTTTAGAGAAATAAGTATGTTGTGCATACATAAGATTAACTGAAGGCCTCAACAGTATTAAGAGCCATCAATTTAAATCCCATTTCATTATTTTTACTCCTTGAAATCAGAAGCCATCTCTCTCTTTCTGTTTGTGTGTGTACACATACACACGTTCTGAGGAGCAAACAAAGTTCTAGTTTGTTGTTTCAGGAAGGCCATTTCCGGTAGTGCATTCATCAACTCATCACATAGTCATGGGAGAAGAAGCAGGTTTAATACCTTGCTCAGGCAGCCCAGAGTTGTATTCTGGGGAAGGGAGAACAAAAGGACTGGGCTGGCTTCTTTTTAATAAGTGGTTTGTTGAGTTTTCTGCCCTCTTGATTTCTCACTAAGTACCCTTCTGGCTGTTATTGGCTGGGGATACATATGCACAGCAGCAAAAGGCAACTGAAAATTTGAAATACACCCCAGAATGAGGCTCAAAAAGTCTTCAAAGTTAGGAGGAAGTGGATCTCCTCCTCAGACTGCTTCTGATCTACTGTTGTCTATGCATTTGTCAGTCTGTTGAAGGGTGCTTCTATAGCCTCTGCTTTCAGACTGTGGCTGTAGCATATTCAGGGAATATGATATTTCTAAGTTGTGAATTTAATCATCTTTTGGAAATCCTAGACTCTATGTTTCAACCTTATCTTGAAGTTCAGGATCTGACTAAAAGTTCAGAAACTATGCATTAGCTACTGTTGGTTATTTCAGTGTCTTTGGAGGCAGACTTTTAGAAAGCTGCTTATTTTGTATAAATTTTGATGCTTTCACTTTCACTATTTTTTCTTCAGTTAAAAATGATCTTCCTTTCCATTCTTGAATGACTATAGTGAGTAAGCTCCATAGGAGCTGGCCACTTGTTCTTGAGACTGTTTGGAATTAATGAGAAGTCAACTTCATTTATTCAATGAATATCTGAGGACCATCAACACATGCATACCAGAAAGACGCTGTCAGACATAATGTCCACACCTAGAACATAGCCATTTTTTCTGAAGATTAGGAAAACATGAGTAACAGAGCAAGGTCCTAGGAACAAGATGGCAGAGCTCCAGACAGCCTGCCTGGAAATTCAGAGGGTGTCAAGCTGGTGAGACATTCAAGCTTTACTGATTTGGGGGTTAGCTGGAGGGTGGGAATAGGAGACATTCCAAGTGTCAAGTTCCAGACAGGCCAAAGGTAGATACATGTCTTCTGCTTCCACTTAAGCCAAATACTTCCATGTTGTACTTGTCTGGGTCATTTAGCTGGCATGAATTGGCAGAACATAAGAATCATGGAAAGACCATACTTTGGAAGAGGAAGCTTGTGGGGGACCTTCTAG